CATGGGCCATTGTTTTCCCTAATATAATACCCTGAATGGGGCCAAAAGGAAAAGCACACCAATGTCAAAATGCAGTATCCCCCTGATTGGTTTTGCCTTTTTATTTTGACAGTACATGAAAGATGAATGTTGGCAGTGATGTTTAAAATCCTTAAAGTGATAATAGCCATGTCTACTCTTACCCAAATATGCTAGGTGGAAGTGCTCTGGAACTATTTATTTATTTACCATTTTTATATATCACCCCTCTCAGCCTGCAGGTGACTCGGGACGGTTTACAGTTGGTACCAAGACCATAAAATACAATATCAATACAATAAAACCATTAATTAATAAAACCATAACAAAATCAGTAAAAACATGAACATTAGAGTCTCCTATTAAAAACATTGTCCAGTCACATAATCCAACCATTCCATTTTTCTATGTGGAGCCCCCGGTGGTGCAATGGGTTAAACCCTTGTGCCGGCAGGACTGAAGACTGACAGGTCGCAGGTTCGAATCCGGGGAGAGCGTGGATGAGCTCCCTCTGTCAGCTCCAGCTGATACCTACAGGCAGGGACATGAGAGAAGCCTCCCACAAGGATGGTCAAACATCAAAACATACGGGCATCCCCTGGGCAACGTCTTTGCAGACATCCAATTCTCTCACACCAGAAGCGACTTGCAGTTTCTCAAGTCGCTGCTGACACGACAAAAAAAAATTCTATATCTGTACATCATGAGGAGACAGGAAAGCCTAGAGAAGACTATTATGCTGGGGAAAGTGGAAGGCAAAAGGAAGAGGGGCTGACCAAGGGCAAGATGGATGGATGGCATCCTTGAAGTGACTGGACTGACCTTGAGGGAGCTGGGGGTGGTAACGGCCGACAGGGAGCTCTGGCGTGGGCTGGTCCATGAGGTCACGAAGAGTCGGAAACGACTGAACGATTGAACAACAACAACACATTATATTTGGAAATGCCTGCTCAAAGAGCCAAGTCTTGACTCTCTTTCAAAAAGTTAGAAAAAAGGGGGCCGATCTAATATCCTTAAGGAGGGCATTCCATAGCCAAAGGGCTACCACCAAGAAGGCCCTGTCCCTTGTTTCCCACCAGCCGTACTTGTGACAAAGGCAGGACCGAGAGCAGGGCCTCCCCAGACGATCTTAAAGTCCTGGAGGGTTCATAAGGGGAGATGCGTTCAGACAGGTAAGTTGGGCCAGAACCGTTTAGGGCAGGGGTCCTCAAACTAAGGCCTGGGGGCCAAATACGGCCCTCTAAGGTCATTTACCCGGCCCTCGCTCAGGGTCAACCTAATTCTGAAATGACTTGAAAGCACACAACATCAACAACAATCCTATCTCATCAGTTGAAAACAGGCCCACACTTGGCATTTAAATACTAATAAGTTATATTTGTTAAAATTGTTCTTCATTTTAATTATTGTATTGTTTTTAAATGTTTTTTACACTAAAAATATGATATGTACAGTGTGCATTGGAATTCATACAAGTTTTTTTTCAAATTATAATCCGGCCCTCCAACAATTTGAGAAACTGTGACCTGCCCCTCTGTTTAAAAAGTTTGAGGACCCCTGGTTTAGGCTTTATAGGCTAAAGCCAGCACTTTGAATTGTGCCCAGTAGCAGGCTGGCAGCCAGTGGAGCTGTCACAACAGAGGAGTTGTATGTTCCCTGTTAGCAATCCGGCTGCTGTCCGTTGGACCAATTGAAGCTTCCAGACAGTCTTCAAAGGCAACCCCACGTAGAGAGCGTTGCAGTAGTCTATACGGGATATAACCAGAGCATGGACTACCATGGCCAAGTATGGGTGCAGCTGATGCACAAGCTTTAACTATACAAATGCTCCCCTGGTCACCACCGAAACCTGGGGTTCCAGGCTCAGTTATGAATACAGGATCACACCCAAGCTGCGAACCTGCGTCTTCAGGGAGAGTGTAACCCCATCCAACACAGGTTGTAACCCTATGTCCTGTTCGGCCTTGTGACTGACCAGGAGTAACTCTGTCTTGTATGGATTCAATTTCAGTATAGCAACCCCAGAGTCCCTTAGACATCCAAACATCCAGCTCAACTGAGGTTGCATTGGGGCTGCCGTCGTAACACATCACTGCCAGCAAGCATCTCTCTGCAGAGGCTTGTTGACTACATCACATTTTTGGTCACATACAGAGAAGGAAAAGCATAAGTGTTTAGGGCAGACAGCAGATCTCCTATGTCATATTTTCCCATCACATACAGTATGTTAACCTTCAAGCATTCATCATCTGAACAGCTTTATGAGAAAAAAATGATATGTCTAGGGGTCGTGCAATGTATGATGTTACCTTTCAATTTGAGACAGGAATTTGGTTTCAAATATTCCTCTTCTTCTCAGTGATTCTGAAATCTGACCTCTGAAGAGAAGTCCTTTCTTAGTCAAGTCTATCAAGATTTGTCTTACTATTTCTCCCAAATACATGCCACTGGTCATTTTTTCATACCTGTTACACAAAAGAAAAATATAGGATGTTTTCATACATTTCATATGTAGTATTGCTGCATCCCTATTGCTATGCTGATGACACCCAACTCGACTTCTTTCCATCGAAATCCAAGCGTTAAACCCAAGTGCTGTTGAGAAGAGTGCACAATACAATATGGTAATGTAATGAAATAGCTAATTATATTGTATGTTTTAAATGTGTGTATTGATGTTGTGATATGACAGGTGAAGGTCAACATTTGCTGTGATTGCCTTAGAGCACTGGTTCTCAACCTGGGGGTCAGGACCCCTGGAGGGGTCGCGAGGGGGTGTCAGAGGGGTCGCCAAAGACCATCATAGACAGTATTTTCTGTTGGGCATGGGAGTTCTGTGTGGGAAGTTTGGCCTAATTCTATCATAGGTGGGCTTCAGAATGCTCTTTGGTTGCAGGTGAACTATAAATCCCAGCAACTACAACTTCCAAATGTCAAGGTCTATTTTCCCCAAACTTCACCAGTGTTCACATTTGGGCATATTGAATATTCATGCCAAGTTTGATCCAGATCCATCATTGTTTGAGTCCACAGTGCTCTCTGGATGTAGGCAAACTACAACTCCAAAACTCAAGGTCAATGCCCACCAAACCCTTCCAGTATTTTCCGTTGGTCATGGGAGTTCTGTGTGCCAAGTTTGGGCCAATTCCATCATTGGTAGAGTTCAGAATGCTCTTTGAATGTAAGTGAACTATAAATCCCAGCAACTACAACTCCCAAATGACAAAATCAATCCTCTCATCCCAACCCCACCAGTATTCAAATTTGGGCATATTGGGTATTTGTGCCAAATTTGGTCCAGTGAATGAGAATACATCCTGCATATCAGATATTTACATAACGAATCATAACAGTCGCAAAATTACAATTATGAAGTAGCAATGAAAATAATTTAATGGCTAGGGGTCACCACAACATGAGAAACTGTATTAAGGGGCTACGGCATTAGGAACGTTGAGAACCAATGCCTTAGAGAATGCATTGCCGTAGTGATGGAGCCGGCTGTCAGAATGTATCCAAGTCAGAGAAGCCAAAGGGGCGGAGCTAACTGCCACCTGGCAGGGGCAGGCATTTTTAAAAAGTCAGTTTCTTTTAGTCAGTCAAAGTGGAAGTTGGGTTCTGATGTGTGGAGAAACCGAACCCATAGAATCATAGAATCAAAGAGTTGGAAGAGACCTCATGGGCCACCCAGTCCAATCCCCTGCCAAGAAGCAGGAATATTGCATTCAAATCACCCCTGACAGATGACCATCCAGCTTCTGTTTAAAAGCTTCCAAAGAAGGAGCCTCCACCACACTCCGGGGCAGAGAGTTCCACTGCTGAACGGCTCTCACAGTCAGGAAGTTCTTCCTCATGTTCAGATGGAATCTCCTCTCTTGTAGTTTGAAGCCATTGTTTCGTGTCCTAGTCTCCAGGGAAGCAGAAAACAAGCTTGCTCCCTCCTCCCTGTGGCTTCCTCACACATATTTATTCATGGCTATCATATCTCCTCTCAGCCTTCTCTTCTTCAGGCTAAACATGCCCAGCTCCTTAAGCCGCTCCTCATAGGGCTTGTTCTCCAGACCCTTGATCATTTTAGTCGCCCTCCTCTGGACACATTCCAGCTTGTCAATATCTCTCTTGAATTGTGGTGCCCAGAATTGGACACAATATTCCAGGTGTGGTCTAACTAAAGCAGAATAGAGGGGTAGCATTACTTCCTTAGATCTAGACACTATGCTCCTATTGATGCAGGCCAAAATCCCATTGGCTTTTTTTGCCGCCACATCACATTTTGGCTCATGTTTAACCTGTCGAGGGCTCCAAGATCTTTTTCACACGTACTGCTCTCGAGCCAGGCATTGTCCCCCATTTTGTATCTTTGCATTTCGTTTTTTCTGCCTAAGTGGAGTTATTTATAATTAAGACTCGTGTCCATTTATTGAGAAGAAGATTTACCTCAGAAGAAGGCGGCTGAAGATATTGGAAGAAAGGATTCTCAAGTAAAAAGTGCCTCAAGTTTTTTAAAAAAAAACAGTTTAAAAGACAAGCCTCAGCAACACGCACCACCACTACTTTAGTAACCTCATCGCCCTGGGTTTTTTTATATGTGTGTATATGTGTGTCATTTGTTTGCCGTTCTTTACAGGTAGCAATACATTTTTTGCCATTTTTTGAAAAGATGATTGCTATTAATGCCAGCAGATATGCAGATGACACCACTCTGATGGCCGAAAGCGAGGAGGAGCTGAGGAGCCTTCTAAACAAGGTGAAAGAAGAAAGCGCAAAAGCCGGGTTGCAGCTAAACGTCAAAAAAACCAAGATTATGGCAACAAGAATGATTGACAACTGGAAAATAGAGGGAGAAAATGTGGAGGCCGTGACAGACTTTGTATTTCTAGGTGCAAAGATTACTGCAGATGCAGACTGGCCAGGAAATCAGAAGACGCTTACTTCTTGGGAGGAGAGCAATGTCCAATCTCGATAAAATAGTAAAGAGTAGAGACATCAGACTGGCAACAAAGATCCGCCTAGTCAAAGCCATGGTGTTCCCTGTAGTAACCTACGGATGTGAGAGCTGGACCTTAGGGAAGGCTGAGCGAAGGAAGATCGATGCTTTTGAGCTGTGGTGTTGGAGGAAAGTTCTGAGAGTGCCTTGGACTGCGAGAAGATCCAACCCAGTCCATCCTCCAGGAAATAAAGCCCGACTGCTCATTGGAGGGAAGGATACTAGAGACAAAGTTGAAGTACTTTGGCCACATCATGAGGAGACAGCAAAGCCTAGAGAAGACAATTATGCTGGGGAAATTGGAAGGCAAAAGGAAGAGGGGCCGACCAAGGGCAAGATGGATGGATGGCATCCTTGAAGTGACTGGACTGACCTTGAGGGAGCTGGGGGTGGTAACGGCCGACAGGGAGCTCTGGCGTGGGCTGGTCCATGAGGTCACGAAGAGTCGGAGACGACTGAACGAATGAACAACAACATTAATGCCAGCAAAGTGAAATATTGGAGGTGTCTGCCAGATAGAAAGAAACATCAAAAGTTCATACATTGCTCTGAAAACATTGCCACAGTTGAACTAAAATACTCATCCTTGCCTCTGTTTCCCAGGATTCAGGGAGCCCTCATCCACATCTTCATCATACGTTGTTCTGAGATCATCTAGGCAGCCGTTGTCACCAAATCCTCCCCATTCTGTATTGATGCACATCCTGCCTTCTTCTCCTTCTACAATTTCTATATTCTTCATCTCCTCCATGTAGCACACATTACTGCCTGTTCCTGGAACAGAACAAGGGTCATATATACTTTATTTTGATCAAACCATATTTAATATTGGAAGAGAACCATTAAGCATAGAAAAGAAAGTCTGTTTTCTTTTTTTAAGAAGGATAGCAAGAACATTAGAATGGCAATAGTAATACAAACAAGCAAGGTTTTGCAATATGTAATACCAAAAATACACAGCTACATTTTACATATTACCACTATGAATCTACATCAAAACACAAAAAACAAAATGCATACATACACACTCATATGCACACAAACTAAAAAACAAGAAAACAGTTCTATGAATTACACTCCTTTTAAATTATTGTTGTCGTTTATTATGTTTATTTATGTCCTTTTTCTCTCCATAAGGAGACTCAAACCAGCTAAATTAAAAGCATTACAATACAATTTAATGTATTGTCGAAGGTTTTCATGGCCAGAATCACTGGGTTGTTGTAGGTTTTTTCGGGCTATATGGCCATGTTCTAGAGGCATTTCCCCTGACGTTTCGCCTGCATCTATGGCAAGCATCCTCAGAGGTAGTGAGGTCTGTTGGAACTAGGAAAAAGGATTTATATATCTGTGGAATGACCAGGGTGGGACAAAGGACTTTTGTCTGCTGGAGCTAGGTGTGAATGTTTCAACTGACCACCTTGATTAGCATTTGATTGCCTGGTAGTGCCTGGAGCAATCTTTTGTGGAGAGGTGATTAGATGTCCTTGTTTGTTTCCTCTCTGTTGTTGTGCTGTTCTAATTTTAGAGTTTTTTAATACTGGTAGCCAGATTTTCTATATAAATAATGTTCGTTTGTGGGATTAACAGAACTCAAAAACCACTGGACGAATTGACACCAAATTTGGACACAATACACCAAGCAGGCCAACAACAGACCATCACTCATAAAAACACTGAAAAACACAACAGAAACTTAAAAAGCCAAAAACAAAAATACATTATAAAGCAGGTGCAAATCCACATGTATACACATATACACAAATATATACACACACAAAACACATATACACAGACAGGGCCACAGCAACACATGGCAGGGGACAGCTAGTCTATATAACTAAAAATGTAATGTTCGTTTGTGGGATTAACAGAACTCAAAAACCACTGGACGAATTGACACCAAATTTGGACACAAGACACCTAACAATCCAATGTATGTCCTTCACAAAATATATATATATGATTTTGTCATTTGGGAGTTGTAGTTGCTGGGATTTATAGTTTGCCTACAATCAAAGTACATTCTGAACCCCACCAATGATGGAATTGAACCAAACTTGACACACAGTTCTCCCATGAGCAACAGAAAATACTGGAAGGGTTTGGTGGGCAGTGTCCTTTGGTTTTGGAGTTGTAGTTCACCTACATCCAGAGATCACTGTGGACTCAAACAATGATGGATCTGGACCAAACATATTTATTATTTATTTATTTCGGGCACTTCTATCCCGCCCTTCTTAACCCCCTATGGGGGACTCAGGGCGGCTTACAACCGGCACAATTCGATGCCAACAATTCAACAGATAAAATACATAACAACACTAACTACAAGTTAAAACAACCAATTAATACAATAACAACTAAAAAGCCAATCTAGTGGCCAAACGTTCACCGAGTTCTAAAATCCGTAAGTCCATTCAGCATTACCATAGTCCTTTCCAAATTCTGGTCGTCATTACCTTGTCAGTCTGCCAGATTACCCAAAGGCCTGGTCCCATATCCATATTTTCAGCTTCCTTCTGAAGGAGAGGAGGGATGTTGATGACCTAATTTTCCCGGGGAGTGAGTTCCACAGGCGAGGGGCCACCACTGAGAAGGCCCTGCTCCTTGTCCCCACCAGCCTCATTTGTGATAGAGGCGGGGCCGAGAGCAGGGCCTCCCCACGTAGAGCGCATTGCAGTAATCTATTCGGGATGTAACAAGAGCATGGACCACTGTGGCCAAACTTGGCATGAATATTTGTGGGAAATAGACCAAGGTCTAAATTAAATCAACTTTTGGAAGTTGTAGTTACTGGGATTTATAGTTCATCTACAATCAAAGAGCATTCTGAACCCCACCAACGACAGAATTGGGGGAAACTTGCACACCAAACCCCCATGACCAACAGAAAATACTTAAGGTCATCCAGTCCAACTCCCTTCACCAGGGCAAGAAAATGTAATCAAAGCCCTCCTGACAAAAAGCCATCCAGCCACAGCTATAGATAGATTCACACACAGAGAGAGAGATAGTATCCTAGATTTGAAAGGGACCCCTAAAGAAGGACAATTATCTGTTGCATGTTCCAGAGTAGGCAAACCAGACAATCTCCACATCAACACTTAACAAAGAAACAGAGAGAAATACTGTTTACTCACAAGCATAAAGACATTACATATATTAGAAACCAACACTTTCACATTACTTTATTTTCCAGATCACCAGACTGGGCCACAGCAACACGTAGCAGGGGACAGCTAGTTAATAATAAAAAGGTTTTAGCCTGTTGCTAGAAGGACAGCCAGGAGGGGGCCATTCTGACTTCCCTGGGAAGAAGGAAGTTCCAGAGTTGAGGGAAAGCCACCAAGAAGAAAGGCCCACCCTCTCATTCCCACCAACCATACTTGAGATGGAGGTGGGACCGAGAGAAGAGCCTCTCCTGAAGATCTCAGGGCTCGGACAGGTTTGTACAAGGGGATGCAGTCAGCCAAATAGTCTGGACCTGAACCATCTAGGGCTTTAGAGGTCAAACCAGCACTGAATTACCTATTAGAACCACCAGAGCCATTATTATTTTTACCTGCAATAAGGCCAATTTCACAATTTGGATCTTCGTAGCCACAGGTCATCATCGTCCCGACAGTGTCATTCACCACAGCTACAATATCTAAATCAAATTCCTGCAACAGGAAACTCCTTAAGTTAATAAACAAGAATGTGCTGTGATGTAATATAAGTTGAAGGTTAGCTACATTTAAAAGGAAAAGATTGTGCAATAAATCAAATAACTGAAATTACATTTCAGACCATTATATGCTATTTTAATTATGAAACTGCTAGATTTAACAACTTCAGCATCAGACACATTGCTTAAATAACAAGAAGATGGCAAATCACTGATTTATAATCTGAAACTGAACACTAAGGCCCAATCAACACAGCCATATAAAATCCAGATTATCTGATTTGAATGGGATTATATTAGTATTCACTGCCATATAATCCAGATCAAAGCAGATAATCTGGGTTTTATAAAGCTGTGTAGATGGGGCCTTAAAGTCAAGAAATGAAGGTCCAGGTAAATGAAGAAGGATAAATGCAGATCAGCTACTTGTATTGTACCCTTGTTTACATAGGGGTTGTGTCTTTGTGTTATAAATATTGTTTGATACTATGAGTTTGATACAAGATATGCTAGGAAAGACTTCCAGGTATATGGAGGTGGGGCTGTAGAGGGCAAAGGAACATCAAAATTATGTCAACATTCAATGGGCTCTTCCACATGGATCGAAAGATGTTTGAGCTCTTGAGGATGTCGGATTTTTTTTCCATTTGAAGGGGTGGGGATGGCCCCTTCTATACTGCCATATAAAATCCAGATTATGTGCTTGCAACTGGATTATGTGACAGTGTAGACATATATAATCCAGTTTGAAGCAAATAATGTGAATTATCTGCTTTGATAATCTGAATTATCTGCTTTGATAATCTGGGTTATATGGCAGTGTAGAAGGCACCTGAGATTCACATAACAGGACTCCTGCCATACTTACATTCCTCCGTTTAATAGCTTCCCTCAGCATGTCAACAACATCTTCTCCTTCGCAGTCAGTTGCTTTGAAACCTTTGGTCCACCCAACAAGAGTTCCCTAGAGAAGAAAAGTGGTTAAAGGGTGATTAAATAAAGATATTCACCGACAAGATAAAATAGAATAGCTTTATTGTCATTGTACTATTGCACAACAAAATTAAATGTCTTCCCCAGCACAGATCACAAAACAGCACACCAATTACTTCACACCCCAACCACCAGCACACATCCAAACCTGGATGATACTTTCAAAAGAGAGAAATAGACATAGGTGGAGATGCCCACCTTTCCTGAAGGTAGGCACAAAAACAAAGGAGGGAGCGGAGGTTCGAGATACCTCCAGCCGGAGGGGCTCTCTCTCTCTCTCTCTCTCTCTCTTGGTCCCAATGGCTGAAGAGAAAGTCAGGAGAAGAGGCGACTTTTGGTGCGCACGCTGGGGTTTTCAGACACGTCTCCGGACCCGAAGCGGCTCCACCCCTTGGCCCACCCGTGGATTGGGGAGAGGAGAGGAGGCGGGTGGGGAGCCGGAGGATCGGGAAAAGGAGCCGGTCATGGGGAAGGGATCGAACGCGGAGAACGATTGAGCGTCGGCTCTGCTCGTGCACCCAGTGGCCAGGTGGAGCAGGAACGAGAGGGGCTAGGCAAGGCTCAAGGGCCCGGCCTTTTTGGGAAGAGGATCGCCCGGCAGCGAGGCAAGAAAGCTGAGGCTCCCCCCGGACTGCTAGGGCTGTTGTGAGCTGAGGGGGCGCTCCTCAAGTGGCAGTCGAGGGGCATTTACAGAGGTGCCTCTGCACCCCTGGCAAAAAAAAGTGTTCTGCGACCGCCTACTTCGCGTAATGGACGAGCCGCCCCTGGTGGCGGGTACAGCTAGTATCCAATAAAAACTAATTAAACACCTCCAGGGTAAACCCTGTGTAGGAGGGAGTAAGATAGAACTAGGAAAGGTTCTATCAAAGACAGTAAGAATTTCTATACTGAAATTAAAACAAATTTTTAAAAAGTCAAAATTCCAGCACCATCCATGCCCTCCAGCTTACCTTGTCAATTTTTGCTTGTCTGCAGGGGAAAGAAAAAGTAAAGCCAAGAGAGAGCCGTGCACCCTTTATGCCCATATACTCCAGGAAGTCTGCAATACATTGGACAATGTGATCAAACAGCTAAAAAATAGAGGAAAGAAAATGAGGCATTTCTATGCTCAATGTATATTTGAAGCAACAAAAAGAATTCTCTTGGTGGTTGCTTTTATTTTACTTTACCTCTTCTCCTGTTCCTTGCATAATTTCCAAAGGAATGGCAAAGATTTTGTTGTACATTCGGACTGACCTGTTCCTTCCGCTTCTGATTTTTACAAGCAAAACTCTGAAATTTGTTCCTCCAAGATCAAGGGCTAGGTATTTTCCCTTTTCTGTAACAGAAAAAGATATTACTTTCCCCCAAAAGTTCTTCTCATGCTGAGCAACCATTGTACTCTCCAGTGGATACCATTAAAATAGAATTGAACAATGTCAAGCAGGAACACAATGTTATGATGCTTCTCAGACCCCTTCCACACAGCTGAAAAGCCCACATTATCTGCTTTGAACTGGAATATATGACTCAGACAACCCTATTTGAAGCAGGTATTGTGGGATTTTCTGCCTTGATATTCTGGGGGAGGATCCAGACAGGCCTTTATCCCAGGAGAATCTGCATTTTAAAAATGCGTATCTTCCTGGGCCCTGTTCACACACACCTCAGAAAGCACGTTGTTTCTGGGGTGGGTTTCCAGATGATCTCACGGGACTGGCCCACAAGAACATCTGAAGACTCTACCCTTTCCCCCCAAAGCCCCCAGATCCTGTGAAAAGTAAAATAAACTTACCCGGCCTCCATTACAGTCTTGAAGCAGCTCTCCCAGCGCTTAGAAATGACGCGCCAGGAGAGCCGGGGAGGAGCGATTTTCCTCCCCCTCCCCCCTCTCCTGGCGCATCATTACTACGTGCCAGGAGAGCTGCTCCAAGACCGTAATGGAGGCCGGGTAAGTTTATTTGTGGGGGGTATTCCAATAGGTTATTGTTGTTCATTCGTTCAGTCGTTTCCGACTCTTCGTGACTTCATGGACCAGTCCATGCCAGAGCTCCCTGTCGGTCATCACCACCCCCAGCTCCTTCAAGGTCAATCCAGGCATTCCTAGAGAGGTCATAAATGCAGGAGGTGTGGACTAGTACTAATAACAGTTGAATGAGTTTGCAATGTTACAATCGGAAGGTCAAGAAGCAAGTTTACGATGTGCTGAGTGTTAAGTAGCTTCTAATGTATATAGCTGTAAAATAATGTAGTTTATAGCCTAGGTGGCTGTGATTGATCTGTTCCTGTCTTGCTGTGCTGCCAATGTCACTGACAGTTTGCACTGTTGCATACAGTTTGGTTTTCCTTGCCATAGAGGGAAAAGACACTGGTGTCTCAGTTTTTCTGCTTTTCTTTTCCTTCCTAATTCCTTTTATCCTTCAGGACATGTCTTTTAAAATTGTAAGCCTGAAGGAAGGAATAGGATTTTTTTTTAAATCAATGGGTAGCTCTGGGAGACTTTCTAGTTTACCAGATTTGCACAATTTAAATCAGGGACATGTCCACTGACCACATTTGCCTGTCCCAAATTCCAAATACCAAATTTGCCATTGTAATGGGGGGAAGGGCACTCTGGTGGCACAGCATGTTAAATTGCTGAGTTGCTGAATTTTCTGACTGAAAGGTTGGTGGTTCGAATCCAGGGAGAAGGGTGAGCTCCCACTGTTAGGCCCAGCTTCTGCCAACCTAGCAGTTTGAAAACAGGCAAATGTGATTAGATCAATAGGTACCACTTCTGCGGGAAGGTAACAGTGCTCCCTCCAGTCATGCTGGCCACATGGCTTTGGAGGTATCTACAGACAATGCCAGCGCTTCGGTTTTGAAGTGGAGATGAGCACCACCCCCCAGAGTTCGACATGACTAGACTTCATGTCAGGGAAAACCTTTACCTTTACCTTAATGGGGGGAAAGTTATAATTTGTCATATAAAATAGGATGCATGTTCCCATACACTTTATGTCTTGTGGAAGTTTGTGCCTCTTTGTAAACCAGATGTATAGGAAGAACCAAGCTAGCTTCAAAGGGGGGAAGGTTACTAATACAACTAGAAGAACAAATATTTATTTATTTACGACATTTATATGCTGCCCTCCTCACCCCGAAGGGGACTCAGAGCGGAGTGTGTTTGTATTTGTTTGTATTCGGGGGTGCCAATGCAACCTCGCATCTTCTTCAAATAAATAAATGGGCGAAATGGGGACCAGGTTGGGGCCGATACTTTGGGGCATTTCTTTTCCCAGTTTCCTACCTGTTCCGTCTGGAGTTCCATAAACAAACGTTGGCAGCATTTTCACAGTAGCCGTGGGGTTTGTTTCCTTCTTTAACCCACGTTCCAGTTCAGCCCTCATTTGGTTCATCACATTTATGAGGTTTTCTTTGGTTAGCTTGAAATTTGCCAAGGCCGCATCAATCTGTTTGTGCTGGGATAACAATCTAGCTGCAACTGCAGTTACCATTGCAGCTCCCTTTCCGCTGCCACTCTCAGAAAGCAGAAATCGAACATCACAATTGGGAACCAGCCTTCTAACCACTTTATGGAGGCGTTTCGCATACCTGGAAGGAAAGAAGCTAGGTTATTGCAAATGCCACGTGCGTAACTGTAATCATTTTGTAATATATTTGATGATCTTGAACTTGCCGAAATTACTTTTTTCTAGATATATATCCAGTAATACATGATAAATAATTTATTTCCCAAATGGTGATGACAATCACTTATAGCCAGTGTTGTCATTCTCTGCATCCAATTTAACACTGTTCCTATCTTATACAACACATGCATATATATATATATTAGAGGTATATAATGGAAAAAGGAATGTTGGAGGACAGGAAAAGAGATTTAAAGATGGGCTCAGAGCCAACCTTAAAAACTCTGGCATAGACACTGAGAACTGGGAAGCCCTGGCCCTTGAGTGCTCCAGCTGGAAGTCAGCTGTGACCAGCAGTGCTGCAGAATTTGAAGAGGCATGAATGGAGGGCAAAAGAGAGAAGCATGCCAAGAGGTCAGCTATGACCAGCAGTGCGGCAGAATTTGAGGAGGCATGAATGGAGGGCAAAAGAAAGAAACGTGTCAAGAGGAAGGCGCGTCAAGCCAACCGAGACCGAGACCGCCTTCCACCTGGAAACCAATGTCCTAACTGTGGGAGAAGATGCAGATCAAGAATAGGGCTCCACAGTCACCTACAGACCCACCAGAACACTGATCCTTGAAGACTATCCTACTCGGACAACGAGGGATCACCTAAGTATGTAAGAAATATATTAGAGGTGTGCAATTCAGCCAAGACATGCCATTTTGGGGTTGTCATCTGACCCCTCATTCTGTTTCCTGGAAATTTACTTTAATCGGCAGGGGTACTGCCGTTTTCATTCGGCAAAGATTTGGCTCATTCGTTACAATGAGAAAATTTAATGGCTCGATCCTCAGTCATTTTAAGGCCTATCTACATGAAACCTATCTCAGTTTTAGACCCCATTAACAACTGCAGGCCTGCCAAGTTTCAGAACAATTCACCAATCTACTGATTTTTTAGAATTATTTTAAGTTTTTACCATAACATTTTTTAAAGTAAGACAAACCGCAAGAGAAAGTTCTGGGAATTGTGTCACCGGCTGTGTCCATTCTCAGCCAATGAGAGCAAGGACACAAACTGGACTTTTATTGGCTGAAAATCAGAGAGGGAGAGAAACTTCTCATCATGTTCCGAGAAGAACTCAAGGACTTTTCAATGTCCGCCCCATGCAAGTGCTGATGGGAAAGCGAGTTCCCAGCAGGACCCACTCTGGAGGAGGAGCCAAGGAAACTTTCCAAAAAGAAATGGACAGGCACCGCTACTGCTGCCAGGGGAGGGAGAAAAACACGCTGCAATAATCCCATTTTATCCAGAAGCCCAGCAGCAGTCCCTGCTTTAGGTATATTGCAGACTTATCTCTATCCTCTCCAGGAACCGATTAAATCTGGCTCTCTTGATCCATTTTGCTGGGCTTTTCGGCTCCCTCCTCCCCATTTTGTTTTCAGAGGTTATATGAAATGGACCACCGACGTTACAAATCATTTCCATTCAAACCGATTTGGCCCAAGCATAATATATATTTGAATAGTATACACCATTAATATTATGAACTAGCCGTCCCCTGTCTCACATTGCTGTGGCCCAGTCTGGTGATCTGGAAAATAAAGTAATTGTTTCTAATCTATGTAATTTCTTTATGCTTGTGGGTAAACAGTATTTCTTGTTGTTTCTTTTGTCAGTGTTGATGTGGAGAGTGTCTGGTTTGCAACATCTCATTGTCCTTCTTTAGGGGTCCCTTTCAAATCTATGATAGTATATCTGTGTGTGTGTGAATCATATTTATCTATCTATATCTATGACTGGATGGCTCTTTGTCAGGAGGGTTTTGATTACATTTTCTTGCCCTGGTGAAGGGAGTTGGACTGGATGGCCTTAAGTATTTTCTGTTGGTCATGGGGGTTCTGTGTGGGAAGTTTGCCCCAATTCTGTCATTCGTGGGGTTCAGAATGCTCTTTGATTGTAGGTGAACTATAAATCCCAGTAACTACAACTCCCAAATGTCAAGGTCTATTTCCCCCAAACTCCATCTTTGTTCATATTTGGGCATATGGAATATTTGTGCCAAGTTTGGTCCAGACCCATCATTGTTTGAGTCCACAGTGGTCTCTGGATGTAGGTGAACTACAACTCCCAAACTCAAGGTCAATGCCCACCAAACCCTTCTAGTCTTTTCCGTTGGTCATGGGAGTCCTGTGTGTCACCTTTGGTTCAATTCCATCGTTGGTGGAGTTCAAAATGCTCTTTGATTGTAGGTGAAATATAAATCCTAAGAACTACAACTCCCAAATGACAAAATCGAAAAATTTTTGAGTGAAGGACATACATTGGGTTGTTAGGTGTATGCTGTCCAAATTTGGTGTCAATTCGCCCACTGGTTTTTGAGTTCTGTTAATCCCACGAACGAACATTATATTTTTATTTATATAGATGGAATGATAATCAATGAACATTCAGTCTAAAATATATATGTTAAGACTTAGTGTTGCCTTATGTTAAAAATGGTATTGATAGAGTATGCAGTGTTATAACACCATTTCAAAACCATCGCTGCAGGTTGTAATTATTATCTTTGCATACATATATATATATATATATAGCCCGAAAAAACCCACAAGAACTGAGTACATATAAAATGTTTACAACATACAGATGAGCAACGATTCCCTTCTCCTACTGGGAGCCCCCAGTGGCGCAGTGGGTTAAACCCCTGTGCTGGCAGGACTGAAGACCAACAGGTCGCAGGTTCAAATCCGGAGGGAGGCGGATGAGCTCCCTCTGTCAGCTCCAGCTCCTCATGCGTGGACATGAAAGAAGCCTCACTCAAAGATGATAAAAACATCAAATCATCTGGGCGTCCCCTGGGCAACGTCCTTGCAGACGGCCAATTCTCTCACACCAGAAGCAACTTGCAGTTTCTCACGTCGCTCCTGACACGACAAAAAAACAAAAACTGGGTGACAACCAGACCTGTTCTTCTGAATTACTAAGTCACTTACTGAGGGTGCGTCTTGTACAGCATGCCATCCATTCCAACAGTGGTTCGAAGCCTTGTCAATTTTTTGTTTTCACGCAAGCGGGTCAGTATTGCTGCCAAAGCTGCAGCACAGAGGTTGGCTGAACGAAATGAAACAATAGTGCAGACGTGCTGAACAGCAATGCAATCATCTTCAGATGGAGTCAAGCCCAATTCAGTCAGAATCTCTTTAGTGTTGTTCAGACCTTCTTTATACCTAACCAAAACAAACAGTAAAAGGAAGCAAGTGAGGGCAGAACAAGGGTGCAGGGCAACATGATTCCTGGAACCTTATCACACATCACCTAAACCAGGGATCCTCAAACTTTTTAAACAGAGGGCCAGGTAACAGTCCCTCAAACTGTTGGAGGGCCGGATTATAATTTGAAAAAGCATGAATGAATTCCTTATGCACACTGCACATACCCTATTTGTAGTGCAAAAAAAACACTTTAAAACAATACAATAATTAAAATGAAGTACAATTTTAACAAATATAAACTTATTACTATTTCAATGGGAAGCGTGGGCCAGCTTTTGTCTGATGAGATAGGATTGTTGTTGTTGTTATTGTTGTTGTATGCTTTCAAGTTTCAGACTCAGGTTGACCCTGAGCGAGGGCCGGGTAAATGATCTTGGAGGGCTGTATCCGGCCCCCGGGCCATAGTTTGGGGACCCCTCACCTAAACTATGGAGACAGGGTATTTCCTCTGATCAACCTAAATGGCTTCTGGTTGCTTCTGGTTGCCTACTACAAGGAAAACCAGCTGATCCCTAATCCATCTAAAACACAGACATGTGCTTTTCACCTTAAGAACAGACAAGAACCTGACTCAGCACATAGAAGATGGCTTTGAAAGGCAGCAGATCACAGGAGCTGTCTTCATAGACCTGTCAGCAGCCTATGATACTGTGAACCACCGCCTCCTCCTGAGAAAAATGTATAATATCACAAAGGACGACCACCTCACCCGCCTCATAGGAAACCTGCTACAAAACAGGAGCCTGCCTCAGGGGAGCGTGCTCGCTCCATCCATGTTCAACATCTACACAAATGACCAGCCACTGCCAGAAGGGACAGAGAGCTTCATCTATGCTGATGATCGTGCCATCACCGCTCAAGCAGGGAGCTTTGAGATGGTAGAACAGAAGCTCTCCGAAGCTCTAGGTGCTCTTACTGCCTATTACAGGGAAAACCAGCTGATCCCTAATCCATCTAAAACACAGACATGTGCTTTTCACCTTAAGAACAGACAAGCATCCCGAGCTCTGAGGATTACCTGGGAAGGAATCCCACTGGAGCATTGCAGCGCACCCAAATACCTGGGAGTTACCCTGGACCGTTCTCTGACCTACAAGAAGCACTGCCTGAATATCAAGCAAAAAGTGGGTGCTAGAAACAATATCATACGAAAGCTGATTGGCACAACCTGGGGATCACAACCAGACACAGTGAAGACATCTGCCCTTGTGCTATGCTACTCTGCTGCTGAGTATGCATGCCCAGTGTGGAACACATCTCACCACGCTAAAACAGTAGATGTGGCTCTTAATGAGACATGCCGCATTATCATGGGGTGTCTGCGCCCTACACCACTGGAGAAATTACACTGCTTAGCCGGTATTGCACCACCTGACATCCGCTGGGAAGTAGCAGCCAATAGTGAAAGGACCAAGGCAGAGACATCTCCAGCTCATCCCCTGTTTGGGTATTAGCCAGCACGTCAACGACTTAAATCTAGAAATAGTTTTCTAAGATCTACAGAGACACTCGCTGGAACACCTCAGCAAGCGAGAGTCCAAAAGTGGCAGGCTCAAACCCAGAACCTCAACCAATGGCTGATACCAAATGAGACTCCCCCCTGGGCACACAGAAGACTGGGTGACTTGGAAGGTGCTGAACAGACTGCGCTCTGGCACCATGAGATGCAGAACCAACCTTAAGAAATGGGGCCACAAAGTGGAATCCACAACATGCGAGTGTGGAGAAGAGCAAACCACAGACCACCTGCTGCAATGCAACCTGAGCCCTGCCACATGCACAATGGAGGACCTCCTTGCAGCAACACCAGAGGCACTCCAAGTGGCCAGATACTGGTCAAAGGACATTTAATCAACTACCAAGCTTGCAAACTTTGTGTTTTGTTTGTTTGTTTTTAATGCAATACAACTGTTTGGTTCGCTCCTGACACGATAAATAAATAAATAAGTCTTAGGACCAAACCAAAATGTTTTGCTGCCAGTCACAAAGCAGAAAATATTCTACCCCCAAGCACACTAGTCGGAATGCATAGTACCAAAGGCCAGCTAAACCATTTTGTCATCTTTAGAGAGATATTACAATAATAATGATATACCCTCCAACGTATCCAATAAGTAAGGGACTAGATCACGAAAAGAAAATCGAATAAGGGGGAAATGTGGAACCCAGTTTTTAAGCTTGTCAGTGCAAGAACAAATACTAGACAGTGTTGTCAGCTGAGAGGAGGAAACTGTGCCAAAAAAGTAGCATTAGTGGTAGAAAGAGCAGACCAGGGCTTGGAAGTACAGAACATAACTATAATTTAGATCATACAACTCCTCTGTTATGACAGCTCCACTGGGTGCCAGTCTGCTACTGGGCACAATTCAAAGTGCTGGCTTTAGCCTATAAAGCCTAAACCAGGGGCCCTCAAACTTTTTAAACAGAGGGCCAGGTCACAGTCCCTCAAACTGGTGGAGGGCTGTATTATAATTTGAAAAAAAACTTGAACAAATTCCTATGCACACTGCACATATCTTATTTGTAGCGCAAAAAAAAAACACTTGGAAACAAAACAATAATTAAAATGAAGAACAATTTTAACAAATATAAACTTATGTTACAATGTGTGGGCCTGCTTTTGACTGATGAGATAGGGTTGTTGTTGTAGTTATTGTTGTTGTGTGCTTTCAAGTCATTTCAGACTTAGGCTGACCCTGAGCAGGGGCCAGGTAAATGACCTTGGAGGGCCATATCCGGCCCCCGGGCCTTAGTTTGAGAACCCCTGATTTAGATCTATCAAAACTGCAGTACATCCAAACACAAATCATTGAAAGGACAGCCACAAATAATCCTTTCCCTTGCTACCTTTTCAGATGCTTTTAATATGTCTTAGGGTGCATCCAGACAATGTTAAAAACACATGAGCACCCGCATTTTTATGTGGGATGTCCAAACTCTGCTTTGTCCCGAAGAAATTTGGCAGCTGGAAAGACCCGGGTCTTTCAGAAGACCCGGTTCTTTCCAGCTATGGGCGCTGTCTGGACTGCCCCCTCAGAAGTCCTGGGACTTCTGAGGGGGCAGTCCGCACAGCCCTCTCATATTTTCCGGGCTCTGTGAGTCCGCAATATCTGAAAGTACTCTAACGTCCACCCCAAACCCCCAGGAAAAAGCTTTTAAAATTAAAATAACTTACCCAGCTGCCAGTAAATTGCTGTTGGCCCTCTCCTGGTATGTAGAAATGGCACACTAGGAGAATTGGGGGAGGAGAGGAAAATTATTCCTGCCTCCTCCCACCCCTTCTCCTGGCACATCATTTCTATGTACCAGGAGAGCTCCAGCAGTTGTTTAATGGCGGCATGGAAAGTAATTTTATTTTTAAAGTCTTTTTAGGGGGGTGGTTTGGGTGTCTCTGTGTACTCCCAGAAGGTACCGGGAGGACATCTAGACAATCCCTGCCCCAACCTGGGATTTTAAAACTTGGGTTAACACGAACTTTTTCGTTGTGTGAAACCGCCCCTAGTTTACTAAGTTCTTGTGGGTTTTTTCGGGCTATATGGCCATGTTCTAGAGGCATTTCTCCTGACGTTTCGTCTGCATCTATGGCAAGCATCCTCAGAGGTGAGGACTGTTGGAACTGGGAAAAAGGGGTTTATATATCTGTGGAATGACCCTAGTTTCTTTTCCCTTTTCCTCATTTACAACTTTTCCATGTAAAAAACACTTCAATGTTGATTCACCACACAAGTCCCAGTTTTCATCTGTGAGATGTTGGAAGTAATAAGGAAAATCAAATTGTTCTCCTATAATACACAAAAACTGCTTGACTTAGTCAAATGTTAAGACCAAATGTGGCTGAGCAGATTGTTACAGAATGAAAACAAGATAATTGCATCTGTAGAAACGTATCTGATGAACAAACTAAGAATTCTTACTGTTCCATGGCAGCGACATGTTTTGTCTCAATCTTGCCCTTGGTGCAGAGAGCAGTTGACAGTTTCCCATTGAAAAGCAGTCCTTCCCTTGCCATTTTCACAAGAATAAGCCGGACGAGTTCTCCTATATACAACCCACTAATCATCTTCTCAAACCTGTCAATATAAAGCAGTTGTTAAATTTTGACAAAATGCATAACCATTTCTAGTTACATTAATATATTACTATACTAGCTGTCCCCTGCCATGCGTTGCTTTGGCCCTGTCTGGTTATCTGGAAAATAAAGTAATGAGAAAGTGTTGGTTTCTAATATATGTAATTTATTTATGCTTGTGGGTAAACAGTATTTCTTGTTGTTTCTTTGCCATTGTTGATGTGGTTTGCCTACTCTGGAACATGCAACATATCATTGTCCTTCTTTAGAGGTCCCTTTCAAATCTATGATACTATATCTCGGTGTGTGAATAATATATATCTAGCTATATCTATGGCTGGATGGCTCTTTGTCAGGACGGCTTTGATTACGTTTTCTTGCCTTGGTGAAGAGTTGGACTGGATGGCCTTCAGGCAGCATTTCTGTTGGTCATGGGAATTCTCTGTGGGAAGTTTGTCCCTATTTTCTCATTGGTATGGTTCAGAATGCTCTTTGTAGGTGAACTATAAATCCTAGTAACTACAACTCCCAAATGTCAAGGCCTATTTCCCCCAAACTCCATCTGTATTCATATTTGGACATATGGAATATTCGTGCCAAGTTTGGTCCAGATCCATCATTGTTTGAGTCCACAGTCCTCTCTGGATGTATGTGAACTACAACTCCCAAACTCAAGGTCAGTGCCCACCAAACCCTTCTAGTGTTTTCTGTTGGTCATGGGAGAATGGTGTACCAAGTTTGGTTCAATTCCATTGTTGGTGGAGCTCAGAATGCTCTTGTAGGTTAACTATAAATCCCAGCAACTACAATTCCCAGATGAGAAAACCAATTTTTTGAGCGATGGTGAGTAGGTGTCTTGTGGCCAAATTTGGCAGCAATTCGTCCAGTAGTTTTTGAGTTGTGTTAATCCCACAAACGAACATTATATTTTTATTTATATAGATGGCTAAATATAATTTTTCTTGTGACTCCAGGTATTTTTATGTGATCTCTTCCTTCTTCTTCCCCTCCTTCTTTGCCCATACATATCTCTCCTTTCCTTCCCTCTCCCCACACTCTCTTTTCCTCCTCCTCCATCATCAATACACATCTCTTTTTATGGAAAAAAATGCACGTAAAAATTACGAAAATTGCCTAATATAAAAAAGAATCTCAGAATCCCCTCTCCTCAAAGTAAGGTGAAAAAGTAATGGGTAAAAGTAATGGGTATTTGCAACTCATTGTGCGTAATCTATGGAGAAAAGTCATTTATTGTGGTGCCAGGATTGTGGCGCAGCTGGCTGAGTGTCAGCTGCATTAAGATCACTCTGACCAAAAGGTCATGAGTTCGAAGCCAGCCCGGGTTGAAGTGGGTTTCCAACCAATTGTGTGTAGCCTGTTGTCGACCTTTGCAACCCGAAAGACAGTTGCATCTGTCAAGTAGGAAAATAAGGTACCACCTTAAAGTGTGGGGAGGCTAAATTAACTAATTTATGAGGCCATAAAAAAGACTCCAGCAAAGCACTCCAGCAAAAAAGCATGCGGGGAATGCGGAAGTACTTCATCAGTGTCGCAGATGGACGATGAAAGCAACAGCTCCCCTGGCGGCCAGAAAAAGTTAAATAGCCTCTGTGTATGTCTGTATATGTTGTATGTCAAAAATTGGCATTGAATGTTTGCCATATATGTGTACACTGTAATCCGCCCTGAGTCCTCTGCGGGGTGAGAAGGGCAGAATATAAATGCTGTAAATAAAATAATAATAAATAAATTTATTTTTCAGGGTTCAAAAATAGTTCTTACCAGCTGCAACTTGTCCCTGGAATTTAGGACCTACCAAATGTTCTGCCCAAAAGCTTTCTCCATGTTGTACTATAACTCTCCAGAAATAGTATTCATCCCCTACAGTCTATGTTGGCAGCTGAACATACCGAAGCTACTTTTGTTCCAAATTATGTCATGGTTGAGATATGCCTCATTGTTTCATTATTAGAAAGAACACTTATACCATACTGGTGACCCAAATTACAATTGTTTCCGAGGGTTGATTGATCCCAAGTCGTTTTCCTTGTCAAATTCTGTCCTGATGTCTTCCAGTGAACCATCGTCTCCAAAGGCTCCCCATTCTGTGTTAATGCACATCCTTCCTTCATCTCCTTCCACGAGGTCAATATTGCTCATTTCTTCCATGTAGCAAGCGTTTGTCCCTGTTCCTGAGTCCAACAGATTGATTTTGGAGAGGAAGAAAAATACACAGATATATGCAAACCATGTCATTCCAAAAATGTGTAGATTGTGGCCTGAATCCTACTGATTAGGAAAACTTAGTAAAAAAAACAAAACACTGAACCAAGGGAATTTACTTCCATGTTAACTCACCATTAAACAATTGGTTCAATGGGCATTACAAGAAACACATATTATGAGTAGACATACAAAACACCTAGGGAATAAAATCTAGGGCAAGCATTCTACGCATCAGCACAAGAAAAGAAAAGAGGGGCAGTGATAAGAGTAAAGTTTTTCTGTTACTTTTTCCTCATGTTTGTGTGTCTTTTGCATGGAACTTGGCTAAAACACACTTGGTGCAACAACATAGAATCAAAGAGTTGGAAGAGACCTCATGGGCCATCCAGTCCAACCCCCTGCCAAGAAGCAGAATCACCCCTGACAAATGGCCATCCAGCCTCTGCTTAAAAGCTTCCAAAGAAGGAGCCTCCACCACACTCCGGGGCAGAGAGTTCCACTGCTGAACGGCTCTCACAGTCAGGAAGTTCTTCCTAATGTTCAGATGGAATCGCCTCTCTTGTAGTTTGAAGCCATTGTTCCGCGTCCTAGTCTCCAAGGAAGCAGAAAACAAGCTTGCTCCCTCCTCTCTGTGGCTTCCTCTCACATATTTATACATGGTTATCATATCTCCTCTCAGCCTTCTCTTCTTCAGGCTAAACATGCCCAGCTCCTTAAGCCGCTCCTCATAGGGCTTGTTCTCCAGACCCTTGATCATTTTAGTCGCCCTCCTCTGGACACATTCCAGCTTGTCAATATCTCTCTTGAAGTTGTGTTGCCCAGAATTGGACACAATATTCCAGATGTGGTCTAACCAAAGCAGAATAGAGGGGTAGCATTACTTCCTTAGATCTAGACACTATGCTCCTATTGATGCAGGCCAAAATCCCATTGGCTTTTTTTGCCGCCACATCACATTGTTGGCTCATGTTTCACTTGTTGTCCACGAGGACTCCAAGATCTTTTTCACACGTACTGCTCTCGAGCCAGGCATCCCCATTCTGTATCTTTGCATTTCGTTTTTTCTGCCAAAGTGGAGTATCTTGCATTTGTCACTGTTGAACTTCATTTTGTTAGTTTTGGCCCATCTCTCTAATCTGTCAAGATCGTTTTGAATTCTGCTCCTGTCCTCTGGACTATTGGCTATCCCTCCCAATTTGGTGTCGTCTGCAAACTTGATGAACAATCACATTCTTTTGCACTCATTTCTAGTTAAGTCCAGTTGACCCCTACATTGACATGACAAATAATTACCGACAATAACTCCAACTTCGCATCGTTGGTCATCATATCCACAGGTCATCATTGTTCCCACTGTGTCATTTACCATCGCCAAGACATCTACATCTATGTCCTAATGAGACAAATACAAAACATTAGTAAATATAAGTTCTGTTCATATTCCTACAATCGCTAATAAGTTCAATATTACTGTGCTTGTAAACAGATTCAACTTAACCCATAGGGTTGGGCATTCAAAAATGGGGAAGATGGTTATGATCGCTCATGCATTTTAATAGACAGGTCTTTAAATCACTAGGAGATGTATTGTCGAAGGCTTTCATGGCCGGAATCACTGGGTTGTTGTAGGTTTTTCCGGGCTATATGGCCATGTTCTAGAGGCATTTTCTCCTGACGTTTCGCCTGCATCTATGGCAAGCATCCTCAGAGGTAGTGAGGTCTGTTGGAACTAGGAAAAAAGGGTTTATATATCTGTGGAATGACCAGGGTGGGACAAAGTACTCTTGTCTGCTGGAGCTAGGTGTGAATGCTTCAACTGACCACCTTAATTAACATTTGATGGCTTGGCAGTGCCTGGGGGAATCCTTTGTTGAGAGGTGATTAGATGTGCCTGATTGTTTACTCTCTGTTGTTTTGCTGTTGTAATTTTAGAGTTTTTAATACTGGTAGCCAGATTTTGTTCATTTTCATGGTTTTGTATGTGACAATTTCAACAGAAAGGAGGAAACCATGAAAATGAACAAAATCTGGCTACCAATATTAAAAAAACTCTAAAATTACAACAGCAAAACAACAGAGAGTAAACAATCAGGCACATCTAATCACCTCTCAACAAAAGATTCCCCCAGGCACTGCCAAGCCATCAAATGCTAATTAAGGTGGTCAGTTGAAACATGTACACCTAGCTCCAGCAGACAAGAGTCCTTTGTCCCACCCTGGTCATTCCACAGATATATAAACCCATTTTTCCTAGTTCCAACAGACCTCACTACCTCTGAGGATGCTTGCCATAGATGCAGGCGAAACATCAGGAGAAAATGCCTCTAGAACATGGCCATACAGCCCGGAAAAACCTACAACAACCTTCACTAGGAAATGTTTGAGAAGACTGAGTCTATTTTAGCATAGGAAAATATTGCCCAAAATATATATATTTAAAATAAATACAGCAATTCTTGTTTGTGCAAGGCTGCATATATCAGAAAATGTGACACTCCAGGCCCTGTTACTTCCCACCCACTGTGTTTTATTTTCCATTATGTTATTTTGCACTGTTTATTTTACTTGATTAGTTTATTTATTTTATTGTGATGTTATTTTGTTGTTTATATTTTATGTTGCTGTAATGTATTGCTGGGCTTGGCCTCGTGTAAGCTGCTCCAAGTCCCCTTTGGGGGGATGGTGGCGGGGTATAATTAAAGTTTATATTATTATTATTATTATTATTATTATTATTATTATTATTATCCATCCATACTTGCTGTGTTGACTAAAGCTGATGGGAGGTGTAGTCCAGAACTAGAGAGCCACACATCTCCATCCCAGATGTACACCATTTCCTTTTTTAAAAAGCACTACACTCCTATTACTATTATTATTTATTTATTTACAACACTTATATTCCACCTTTCTCACCCCGAAGAGGACTCAGAGTGGCTTACAAGATATATATACATACAATATTTTATATTATTAGCATACATACAGTATATTATATTATTAGCATCGTACCATATCAGTATTATATATTACTATATTGTACTATACCATTATATTGTAATACTAGCCATCCCCTGCCATGCGTTGCTGTGGCTCAGTCCGTGTATATGTTTTATGGGTATATATATTTGTGTATATATGTGGTTTGTGCATGTGTTGTAATGTATTCTTATTTTTGGGCTTTTTAAGTCCCTTCTGCTGTGTTTTCCAGTGTTTTTATGAGTGATGGTCACTCGTTGGCCTGATAGGTGTCTTGTGTCCAAATTTGGTGTCAATTGGTCCACAATTATTAGGAGTAATTGGTCCACAATTATTAGGAGTAATTGTAGTAATCGTAGTAGTAATAATTCTGAACTTACCTGATGTTTCCTGAGGGCTTTGCGAAGAGATTGCACTACATCTGTTTGTTGTACTCCCCGGGCTTTAAAATGTTTTGTCCAAGAAAGTAGCACACCCTAAAAAATACTGCAATTACGAATTATTCTTATAAATAATAACAACAGTAATGATATAACACCAATCTACATGCTGATTTTCAGAAGGACACAGCAAAAATACAAACCCCTCTTCTTATTATATTTAAATAATGGCAACTAACAATTTTAAATTAAATGGTCTATAGGTATCCTGGGCGGAAAGTCCTATATATAAGTATACTAATGGGCAACAATTGGCCGAGACATATTGCTGCTTCAGGCAGACCAGCAAATGATACCTAGCCATTTACAGTTAAGTTGGTTTTCCTCCCTTAATAGAATTTCTTCAAGGGTATATGACTCAGTAATCAGACTTGCAAATTAAATCAATGTTTTCCTTCCAAAAACAAGCATAAAACAAAGTGTGCTAACTACAACATATGTAGGTGAAGAAAACTTATACTACAATGAACAGACATCTTTGACTGGTTAGGGCAGGGGTTCTCAAAGTATGGCCCGGGGGCCGGATACGGCCCTCCAAGGTCATTTACCCAGCCCTCGCTCAGGGTCAACCTAAGTCTGAAACGACTTGAAAGCACACAACAACAGCAACAACAGCAATCCTATCTCATCAGCCAAAAGAAGGCCCACACTTCCCATTGAAATACTAATTGTTGTAGTACAGTGTGCTGATCAAGCTACAACTAGTAGTAGAAGGGGAAAGAGGGCTGCTCAGGTGCTGGAACAAGAGCAGCAAAGGAAGCAAATTAGGGAGATATTAATGACACCTACAGATACTGAGTCATTCAAAGGTTTCACAGATTCTGAGATGGAGGAGGAGGGAGACGGGAGTAGAGGTTTGAAGCGAGTTACTCAGGAGCAAGAGTCAGATGACGAACGGGAAAGGAAGCGGATCTGTGAAATACTTGATGTTCCAACTGAGGAGGAAGACTTCATGGGGTTCACAGGGAGTGATGGGTCTGAGAGTGATGGGCTAGACTGGACCCGTGCGCAGGAGATCAGGGACATCTGTACTCAACCCACATCTAGTGATGAGTTTGAAGGGTTTTCGGGAGACTGGCAACCTGGTAATACATGGGGTGATCTAAGTCTTGACAGGCACTGGAAAAGTTGGAGGGACGGGTGGTGGCGAGCAGATGTGGAAGCTAAGGCACCTGAGAGTGATGAAGACAGGGTGGAGAGCAGTTCATCATTCGATAATGAGTTATAGGATAAAAGAAGGTATCAAACATTGGGGACTTTGCAGTAGGCAAAGTGTTGTATTTGGGCTTGGGACTTTGTTGCTGCCATTACTTTCGCCTTGGGTCCTGGGACTGCAGATCACTGTGTTTCCGTGCTTCTACTGACTGGAATCCTGTAAGTGCTAACTTCTAGTTCCTTGCTGACTCTGGATTGTTTTTTGGACGACAACATTGCGTTTTGGACTCAAACTTCTACTTTTGGATGTGATTCGACTTTGGACTGTTACCTGACTACGTTTTTGCTTGCTCCCACCTTGTTTACCTTGCGATTTTGAAGCAGTTTGCTTGAACTTTTTGTTATACCGAATATATTCCAGAATAATCCGGATTATTTTCCACGTTGTGCTTTTTGCATAGCAGTTTGCTACAGACTTTGTTTTCTTGCTAGATACACTGAGTTAAGTGTTTCTAAGCTATTTTTGTAACATTAATAAATCTTGTTTGGACCTTTTACTTGTGTTTCGCTCCTTTAATGCTTCCGGTTCATGACACTGTTGTTGTTCATTCGTTCAGTCGTCTCCGACTCTTCGTGACCTCATGGACCAGCCCACACCAGAGCTCCCTGTCGGCTGTCACCACCCCCAGCTCCTTCAAGGTCAGTCCAGTCACTTCAAGGATGTCATCCATCCATCTTGCCCTTGGTCGGCTCCTCTTCCTTTTACCTTCCACTTTCCCCAGCATAATTGTCTTCTCTAGGCTTTGCTGTCTCCTCATGATGTGGCCAAAGTACTTCAACTTTGTCTCTAGTATCCTTCCCTCCAATGAGCAGTCGGGCTTTATTTCCTGGAGGATGGACTGGTTGGATCTTCTCGCAGTCCAAGGCACTCTCAGAACTTTCCTACAACACCACAGTTCAAAAGCATCTATCTTCCTTCGCTCAGCCTTCCCTAAGGTCCAGCTCTCACATCCGTAGGTTACTACAGGGAATACCATGGCTTTGACTAGGCGGATCTTTGTTGCCAGTGTGATGTCTCTACTCTTTATTATTTTATCGAGATTGGACATTGCTCTCCTCCCAAGAAGGAAGCGTCTTCTGATTTCCTGGCCACAGTCTGCATCTGCAGTAATCTTTGCGCCTAGAAATACAAAGTCTGTCATGGCCTCCACATTTTCTCCCTCTATTTTCCAGTTGTCAATCATTCTTGTTGCCATAATCTTGGTTTTTTTGATGTTTAGCTGCAACCCAGCTTTTGCGCTTTCTTCTTTCACCTTGATCAGAAGGCTCCTCAGCTCCTCCTCGCTTTCGGCCATCAGAGTGGTGTCATCTGCATATCTAATAAGTTTATATTTGTTAAAATTGTTCTTCGTTTTAATTATTGTAATTTATGTGATTTTTTCATTACAAAAAAGATATGTGCAGTGTGCATAGGAATTCATTCATTTTTTTTTCAACTTATAATCTGACCCTCCAACAGTTTGAGGGACTGTGACCTGGCCCTCTGTTTAAAAAGTTTGAGGACCCCTGGTTTAGAGAAACACCTGGTCACAAAGCCATCTTATTGTAGATCTTGATGCTGCAGATCTAATAAGTCCAATTCTTACAATCAGAACCAAACTTATAGCTATTATTGTTTCTAAGAATAACGAATGGACAGAATGAAGATATGGAATCATCTTTCAAAACTCAATTGCAATCTGCCCAAACCAAATCTACATTTTAAACAGTCAATTATTGCTATTGTTATTTGTTGATAAAACCTCTCTAATTTAGAAAACCTACAAACAATATGGACCAAGCAAGAATGTGTTAAGACAACCATGCCAAGCATCTGAAAAAAGAAAAGAAGGAAGAGAAAAATAGAAGAAAGAGGAAAGAAAATCTGCCAGAAGAATTAGAGTAGAAGGTTATCCCACAAACAATCCACAGGCTTGACATATATAGGGGCGGCTCAACCCATTACGCGAAGTAAGCATTCGCAGTATAGTTGATTTTGCCCAGGGGCGCTCTTGAGGTGCTCTTGGGGGAAAATAGACCTTGACATATGCGAGTTGTAGCTCCTGGGATGTATAGTTCACCTACAATCAAAGAGCATTCTGAACTCCACCAATGATGGAATTGAACCAAATATGGCACACAGAACTCCCACGACGAACAGAAAATATATATCAGTGATTGGTTTGGGGGGGGGGGGGGCGGGCGCCAAAATACTGTTTGATTACCATTGAAAATTACCTAGGGCCGCCTTTGGACATATATACAGAAAAATCATAGCTACTCGTATTAACAAGCTTTCTACAGTGTTCTATGCATCCTGTTATCCAGTATTTTTGTATCCTTTCTATAAGTCATTACTTAATAATTACTTTCTAGCACAAACAGACATCGCTATAGTACCTCCTCTCATTCAAACTGCTCATTAAGAAGCCTGCTAAAGATTCGGTGTAGTTAATAAACTACAAATAGTGTCACTTACCTCTGCTAATTTACTTTGTTTACAAGGAAATGAAAAAGTAAACCCAATGGGCAATTTCTTATGCTTTATGTCCTTGGTCTCCATAAAGTCTGCGATGCAATCAGTTATATATTCAAAGAGCTGCCTCAAACCAAGGGAAAGATACAAGTTATTATCGTTATCAGTGAATGCACACACACAAGCACACAAAATATTCCCTCCCCAGATAAGGGTTCCACAGAGCTCAAGCAGAACAAGAGCTAAAACTGGATTTTTAGTAAGAGTGATTGTATTTCCTCTGCAATTCTGGTTAGAATGCTGTTCAGTACAACATGATTCAAAAACAGTAGTTTAAAACATCACACCATAAAACACACAAAAGCATATAATACATTAAAAGCAATCATATAATTACATAAAGCCAAGTCGTCCAAAAGATATCACAATTCATTACCATCTGTCCATGTGGTCAGAAGTTATTGACTCACTCATCAAATGATAAATTTCAGAGCCAAGTTTTCACCAATTTTCTAAAAGTCGGGGCAGTTCTAATCTCCAGTGGGAGAGAGTTCCAGAGCCGAGGGGCCACCACCGAGAAGGCCCTGTCTTTCATCCCCACCAGACGCACTTGCGAGGATGGTGGGACAGAGAAGGGCCCCTCCAGAAGATCTTAACAACCTTGATGGTTCATGGGGAGAATCCATTTGGACAGGTAAACTTGGCCGGAGTCGTTTAGGGATTTATAGGTTAACACCAGCACTTTGAATTGTGCTTGGAAGCTAATTGGCAGCCAGTGGAGCTGGCGCAAGAGAGGAGTAGTATGCTCCCTGTACCCTGCTCCTGTTAGTAATCTGGCTGCTGCTCGTTGGACTAGTTGAAGCTTCCGGGCAGTCTTCAGAGGCAATCCCACGTAGAGAGCGTTGCAGTAGTCTATACTGGATGTAACCAGCGCATGGACCACCGTGTATTGTGGCGGGATTGTAGCGCAGCAGGCTGAGTGTCAGCTGCATTAAGATCACTCTGACCAAAAAGGTCATGAGTTCGAAGCCAGCCCGGGTTGGAGTGGGTTTCCAACCAATTGTGTGTAGCCTGTTGTCGACCTTTGCAACCCGAAAGACAGTTGCATCTGTCAAGTAGGAAAATAAGGTACCACCTTAAAGTGTGGGGAGGCTAAATTAACTGATTTATGAGGCCATAAAGAAGACTCCAGCAAAGCATTCCAGCGGGGAAGCATGCGGGAATGCGGAAGTGCTTCATCAGCGTCGCAGATGGACGATGAAAGCGACAGCTCCCCTGGCGGCCAGAAAAAGTTAAATAGCCTCTGTCTATGTCTGTATATGTTTGTATGTCAAAATTGGCATTGAATGTTTGCCATATATGTGTACACTGTAATCCGCCCTGAGTCCCCTGCGGGGTGAGAAGGGCAGAATATAAAAGCTGTAAATAAATAAATAAATAAATATTCACATGTTTCATGTAATTATGATGTTGTTGATTATTGTTTGCATTTTCGGTTTGCGTTTTCGGTTTTACTCTGTTGTAATTTGTTGTTTGGGCTTGGCCTCATGTAAGCTGCCCCGAGTCCCCATCGAGGAGTGGTTCTCAACCTTCCTAATGCCATGATCCCTTAATACAGTTCCTCATGTTGTGGTGACCCCCAAACATAACATTATTTTCATTGCTACTTCATAACTGTAATTTTGCTACTGTTATGAATTGTAATGTAAGTCTCTGGTATGCAGGATGTATTTTCATGGACCGGACCAAATTTGCCACAAATATCCAGTATGTCCAAATTTGAATACTGGTGGGGTTGGGAGGGGATTGATTTTGTCATTTGGGAGTTGTAGTTGCCGGGATTTATAGTTTACCTACAATCAAAGAGCACTCCACCAACTATGGTATTGAACCAAATGTGAAATTCAGAACTCCCATGACTAACAGAAAATACTGGAAAGATTTGGTGAGCATTGACTTTGAGTGTTGAAGTTGTAGTTCACCTACATCCAGAGAGCACTGTGAACCCAAACAATGATGGATCTGGACCAAACTTGGCACAGATATTCAGTATGTCCAAATGCGAACACTGGTGGAGTTTGAGGAAAATAGACCTTGTGATTTGGGAGTTGAGGTTGCTGGGATTTATAGTTCACCAATAATCAGAGAGCATTCTGAACCCTACCAACGACGGAGTTGGGCCAAACTTCCCACACAGAACCTCCATGACCAACAGAAAGTACTGTGTGTTTTGGTGATCTTGGAGACCCCTCTGACACCCCCTCACGACCCCCCTAGGGGTCCTGATTCCCAGGTTGAGTAACGCTGCATTAGATAATCAGCCACTGAGAGCAAAGTCCAGAAGAAAACAGGTTACTTACGTCATTCCCACGGCCTTGTATAATTTCTTTAGGTGTTGGGTAGAATTGACTTTCCATTTGAACATTTTGCTTTCCATCTTCAGATACTTTGACCCTCAGAACTCGAAATTTGGAGCCTCCAAGGTCTAAAGCAAGGAAGTCGCCCTTTTCTGTAACACAGTGGGAGAAATGGTATATTCACTAAATTCTTGTGGGTTTTTTTGGGCTATAGGGCCATGTTCTAGAGGCATTTCTCCTGACGTTTTGCCTGCATCTATGGCAAGCATCCTCAGAGGTAGTGAGGTCTGTTGGAATTAGGACAATGGGTTTATATATCTGTGGAATGGCTGGGATGGGGCAAAGAGCTCTTCTCTGCTGGAGCTAGGTGTGAATGTTTCAACTGACCACCTTCATTAGCATTTGAAGGCCTGGCTGAGCCTGGGAAAATCTTTTGTTGAGAGGTGTTAAGCTGTGCCTGGTTGTTTCCTCTCTGCTGTTTTGCTGTTGAGTTTTTTAATACTGGTAGCCAGATTTTGTTCATTTTCATGGTCTCTTCCTTTCTGTTGAAATTGTCCACATGCTTGTGGATTTCAATGGTATAATGGTATAATCTTCCACACTTCGCTTAAATCACATACAGAAAGCAGAGTCTTTGTAGTAAATTAGACATGGATGCTGGATATCCATTATTCTCGGGGTAATAATACTTTATATACTACTTTAAACTTTCACAGATGTCTCTTTTCCCTCACAACTCTTGACTTTCAAATGCAAGATTTTTGGGAAACTTCAATGTAGTAATTCCTGATAAAAAGGTAAAGGTTGTCCCCGGACATTAAGTCCAGTCATGTCTGACTCTGGGGTGTGGTGCTCATCTCCATTTCTAAGCCGAAGAGCTGGCATTGTCCATAGACACCTCCAAGGTCATGTGGCTGGCATGACTGCATGGCGCGCCGTTACCTTCCCGCCGGAGTACCTATTGATCTACTCACATTTGCATGTTTTCGAACTGCTAGGTTGGCAGAAGCTAGGGCTGACAGCGGAAGCTCACGCCGCTCCTTGGAATTGAATCTGCGACCTTTTGGTCAACAAGCTCAGCAGCTCAGTGCTTTAACCCACTGCGCCACCGGGGGCGTAACTCCTGATATAATGTTTATATTATTATGATAGTGACAGAAGAAATCACTGCGTACCTGAGCCATCAGGAAGTGATCGCACAAGTGTGGGCAACATTTTTACCGCAGCAGTTGGATTGGTGTCTCTTCCCAGACCTTTCACCATCTCTGACCGGAAACGGGTCATCACATCAAGGAGGACGTCATCCGAAAGCCGCATGTGGTAGAGGTACCGATCAACCTGTGGCAGGAGCACATAGAGGATCTTCATTATTGTTGTTGTAGCTGAATCATAGAATTGGAAGAGACCTCGCGGGCCATGCAGTCCAACCCCCTGCCAAGAAGCAGGAAAATCCCATTCAAAACACCCCCAACAGCTGAGGATGCTACTGATCTATATCACCCTATCATCGGGTTTTCTTGGCAAGATTTGTTCAGAAGAAGTTTGCCATTGCCTTCCTCTGAGATGGAGAGAGGGCATGGCTTGCCCAAGGTCACCCAGTGGGTTTAATGGCCAGCTGGGAATTTGAACCCTGGACTCCAGAGCTGAAGTCCAGAGCTCGAAAGATAAGATCACATGGCTCGCTACAGGATTGGTATTTGTTGTTTATTCATTCAGTCAGTCGCTTCCGACTCTTCGTGACCTCATGGACCAGCCCACACCAGAGCTCCCTGTTGGCCATCGCCACCCTCAGCTCCTTCAGAGTCAAGCCAATCACTTCAAGGATACCATCCACCTATCTTGCCCTTGGTCGGCTCCTATTCCTTTTTCCTTCCATTTTCCCCAGCATAACTGTCCCAAGCCAGGGCTCCCTGTTGGCCATCACCACCCCCAGCTCCTTCAGAGTCAAGCCAGTCCCTTCAAGGATACTATCCATCCATCTTCCCTCATGGACCAGCCCAGGCCAGAGCTCCCTATTGGCCATAACCACCCCCAGCTCCTTCAGAGTCAAGCCAATCACTTCAAGGATACCATCCATCCATCTGGCCCTTGGTCGACCCCTCTTCTTTTTTCCTTCCATTTCCCCAGCATCATTGTCTTCTCTAAGCTTTCCTGTCTTCTCATGATGTGGCCAAAATACTTAATCTTGGCCTCTAATATCCTTCCCTCCAATGAGCAGTTGGGCTTTATCTCCTGAAGTATGGACTGGTTGGATCTTCTCACGGTCCAAGGCACTCTCAGAACTTTCCTCCAGCACCACAGTTCAAAAGCAACTATCTTCCTTTGCTCAGCCTTCCTTGTGGTCCAGCTCTCACATCCATAGGTTACTATGAGGAATAACATTGCTTTAACTATGCAGATCTTTGTTGCCAGTGTGATGTCTCTACTTTTCACTATTTTATCAAGATTGGTCATTGCTCTCCTCCCAAGAAGTAAACATCTTCTGATTTCTTGGCTGCAGCCTGTGTCTGCAGTAATCTTTGCACCTAGAAATACAAACTCTGTCACTGCCTCCACGTTTTCTCCCTCTATTTGCCAGTTATCGTTCAGTCAGGATTAGTATACTGGACATTAAATATAGTGTACTGCCCCAGAAGACTAAACATTTTTGCACTGGCTAGTAATGATCTGACCCAAAAATGTGAACACAAATAGCTACAATGGCCTTTTACATACTATTGACACAGATTAACCGTACAATCTTCTTGGCATCCCCATACAACCGGGGGGGGGGGGGGGGGGGGGGAGCACCATAGGAAGAAAAAAACCCAAGGTAATCTATTTGTCAATTACCAAGAAGTCACACAAAAGTTACTAAACTTGTCTGACTGGATGTTGCAAGCATGGAAGGATGCTTTCCCAGAAATGTAAATTATGCTACAGTAAACTCCAGAATTCAAACAATGTTTTCAATACTTCATGTAATGCTATATATAGAATGGTGAGTTGTAGTGCCACACATTTCTGCTCAACTCAAAAATCATACTAGGGTTCTTGATAGCACAGACAAGGACATTTATCTGTTTGTTGTGTTTCTGACATAGTAACCCTAAAGCTATCAAGGGGTTTTCTTGGCAAGATTTGTTCAAAGGGGTTGCTCATGGAAGAGCACTGAAGGACTAGACAAGATCCTGTAGGGTAAAGATATATTGTTAAATACTGAAGTTGGGGTTGTCTTCCATCATGTCTTCCATTTCTATGTAAGGTGGTGAATGCTGAACAAAAGAAAACTCATAAAAAGAAAATCAACTGATTTGAGATGTGGTTCTGGAAAAGACTTCTACAGATACTGTCAGGATTTGGAAATACCTCTGGCCTAACCGCTAGGCATGGTTAGGTTCGGTCGGAATTTTCATAATTCGGAATAAATTCGGAAAGATTTGCATTTTGAAGCGATTTTGAAGTTTTTAAGGAAACCGGAAGTCCCTTTGCCCTTCCGAAGCTTTTTCCGCCATTTCTGTTACGAAGCAGTAAGTGAGTCGGAAATTATTCAGCTTTTCCCCGCTTCTGGTTTCAAGCCTGGGAAGCATTTTAAACCAGACTGGATGGATTTCCTGCCTTTCCTCTCCCCTCGCTTCTGGTCTCAAGCCTGAGAAGCGTTTTAAACCAGACTGGATGGATTTCCTGCCTTTCATCTCCCCTAGCTTCTGGTCTCAAGCCTGAGAAGGGTTTTAAACCAGACTGGATGGATTTACTGCCTTTGCCCCCCCCCCCCCCTCTAGAGTAAAACAACTATCAAAGTAAAGACCACCCAATGAAACAGGAAATAACACTTTCAAACCATTAACAAAAGGATTCAGAAGTCTCGGAAGTTTCGAAAAGTTTTGAACATTTTTTTCTATGAAATTCGGAATTGACTTCCGAATCGAACCACCAGTGCCCCCTACATCCAAAACGAGTTTTGAACCATTTTTTTCATCAGACAAGGCTACTAGCCACCTGTAAAAGAGTTAAGCCACTATAATTAGGGTGTAGTATATAGGTTGTAGTTATACTGAGTAAGTTTGATGAGACTTGTTGAGGGACAGATGGTGTTTTGCAGAATGTGTTGGAGAATTGTTGCTGTGAGTAGAAGCTGTCGAGTTTGTATATTTTGTATATACTTTGTATATTGCTACAAAAAAGAAGAATGACAAGTCTTCTCACTTATTTGGGAAAGGACAAAAGTCTCTGTGTGTTGTATTGGTCACGTAAAAGACCACTACAACTGTGCTTTCGGATACCTGGTTCTTTAACCAAAACTAATAGAGCTCTGGCATGGACTGGTCCATGAAGTCACAAAGAGTCGGAAACAACTGAACAAATGAACAACAACAAGAACAATAGAGTCACTTCCACAAGAACAGGAGTTTTATGACTGCATAGAACCCCTATTATGTTACAGTAAGTCATAACAGTGTGTGTGTGTGCATGTGTGTTAAAGAAAATCTTATGCTGTTAATTATTATGTGCAGTTGCTAATGTAGGTCAACTAGTGAGTTTGGACCATACCCGGTGGGGTATAATTGTATGGTTTTTAGAATACAGTTTAGCTTTTGCTCTGAGGAGGCTTTATTCAGGTATTTTGCTCAACCATTTCTACTGCTCTCTCATTTGGATGTAGATGAAGAAGCCTTATTGTGAAGAACTTTGGTCCAAAAGCAAGGCGCTGGCTGCTGGAGCTGATGAACAACTGCACCGCATCCTGTCAGATCCCCAAAATCTGGAGGAAAGCAAGAGTCATCGCCATCTTGAAGCCAGGCAAAGACCGTAATGACCCAAAAAGCTACAGACCAATCTCCTTGTTGTGCCACCTCCCGCATAGAATTATGGAAAAAATAGACCCATGTCTGATTCCACAGCAAGCTGGCTTCAGGAAAAGCAAAAGCTGCACATCGCAAGTGCTGAACCTGACTCAGCACATAGAAGATGGCTTTGAAAGGCAGCAGATCACAGGAGCTGTCTTCATAGACCTGTCAGCAGCTTATGATACTGTGAACCACCTCCTCCTCCTGAGAAAAATGTATAATATCACAAAGGACTACCACCTCACCCACCTCATAGGAAACCTGCTACAAAACAGGAGCTTTTTTGTTGAGTTCCAGGGCCAGAGAAGCAGATGGCGGAAACAGAAGAACGGCCTGACTCAAGGGAGCGTGCTTGCCCCATCCATGTTCAACATCTACACAAATGACCAGCCACTGCCAGAAGGGACAGAGAGTTTCATCTATGCTGATGATCGTGCCATCACTACCCAAGCAGGGAGCTTTGAGATGGTTGAACAGAAGCTCTCCGAAGCTGTAGGTGCTCTTACTGCCTATTACAGGGAAAACCAGCTGATCCCTAATCCATCTAAAACACAGACATGTGCCTTTCACCTTAAGAACAGACAAGCATCCCGAGCTCTGAGGATGACCTGGGAAGGAATCCCACTGGAGCATTGCAGCACACCCAAATACCTGGGAGTCACTCTGGACCATGCTCTGACCTACAAGAAGCACTGCCTGAACATCAAGCAAAAAGTGGGTGCTAGAAACAATATCATACGAAAGCTGACTGGCACAACCTGGTGATCACAACCAGACACAGTGAAGACATCTGCCCTTGCGCTATGCTACTCTGCTGCTGAGTATGCATGCCCAGTGTGGAACACATCTCACCACACTAAAACAGTGGATGTGGCTTTAATGAGACATGCCGCATTATCACGGGGTGTCTGCACCCTACACCACTGGAGAAATTACACTGCTTTGCCAGTATTGGACCACCTGACATCTGCCGGGAAGTAGCAGCCAATAGTGAAAGGACCAAGGCAGAGACATCTCCAGCTCATCCCCTGTTTGGGTATCAGCCAGCACGTCAATGATTTAAATCTAGAAATAGTTTTCTAAGATCTACAGAGACACTCACTGGAACACCTCAGCAAGCGAGAGTCCAAAAGTGGCAGGCTCCAAACCCAGAACCTCAACAATGGCTGATACCAAATGAGAGACTCCCTGCTGGGACTTGGAAGGCGCTGAACAGACTGCGCTCTGGCACCACGAGATGCAGAGCCAACTTTCAGAAATGGAGCACAAAGTGGAATCCACGACATGCGAGTGTGGAGAAGAGCAAACCACTGACCACCTGCTGCAATGCAACCTGAGCCCTGCCACATGCACAATGGAGGACCTTCTTGCGGCAACACCAGAAGCACTCCAAGTGGCCAGATACTGGTCAAAGGACATTTAATCAACTACCAAACTCACAAATTTTGTATTTTGCCTGTTTGTTTGCTTTGTTCTGTTAGAAATGTAATATAATTGACTGGTTGCCCTGAC